CAAGATGCCTAAAAGTCCACTCTATAACACTTACCTGCAATAAGGCTTTTATTTTTGGTTAAAATTCAACACTCTTCCCCTTCCTCCTCCCTAGGAGTCATTATGCAATTCTCAGGAGTTAGGACAATTTCAGTTAACTTATCCGAATATTTTTATATCTGATACACTTCTCCTGGACCATCTGGGTAAACTGTGATAGACTTAAAGTCCTAGGAGAGGGTGACAGGCCTGAACATCTGAGGTATAGCGCCGTGGCTAAGTGCAAAGATCTGTTGGAACCAAGACTCCTGGGTCCAAATCCAGTTCTGCTATCCGCTAGGTGAGTGACCTTTAACGCGTCACTTTCCTTCTGTTCCTGCATTTGTTCATTCAGATAGAAGATGGTGTTACCCAGAGGACTTCCCTCAACAGGGCATTGGAGAATTAAGTGAGTCAACATAGTGCAGGCATTCAAAGTGTTGCACAATAGAGAGTGAGTCCTATAGGATAAGTGCTTACTTCTGTCACTACTGGGAGGGGACGGCGTGAGGTTTAACCGTGACGGGGGTTGCTCTGGTTTCCTCTCTGCGTCCTCCTTTCCCCATTTACAAGGTGCAGAGAGGACGAGCCAGAGCTAGAACATGACAGAGGCCGGGCTTCCTACCCAGGGCTCCCCCATTCGTGTAACTTCCCGAGGAGGAAGACCAGGATGGCGGAGACCGGGGGAAAGCCATGGCCAGCTCCGACGTGTGTCCCTTCTGGAGCCAACGGAACCCTGGCCCTTTGGGGCTTTCCCCAGAGTCCCCTCCGTGTCCCGGCTCCCGGGTGCGCTCGGCGTCGAAGCAAACGCCCTCCTGCGACACACCCCCCGCCCCCGCGCCCGGGCGCGCCCTCCAAGCCCGGCCCAGCACCGCCACTCGCGGCCCCGCTGGGAGGACGAGTCACCGTGGGGTGGACGGGAAAAGTGACACCCTGGGGCCGCGGCGCCCTCCGCGCCGGCCTCCCCCGCAGCGCGGGGCGGCCTCGGGCCCTCCGAGCGGGGCGGG